ATTTTTTGTTTGGGGCACGCACAATTAATAAAGCACGCAGTAGTGATCACTGGTGTCTTACTTAGAGAGCTGGTTAGAAGCTGGAAAAAGCTTCGGTTGGTTAGTCCATTCTAAAATGACCGTGACACGCGCTAACACGTTTACTATTTGTGATTGGATGCACGCACGTTTTAAATATCTGTGGCTATTGGAACCCCCTGATGTATTATAAACTAAGAAGAAACTGTTATACAGCTTCATAAGATTTTTTTAAAATTTAAGAAAAACTTGTTGATTCTAACATGATGCATTGTGACTTGGCCAAGTTGAATCAAACACATGCCGACTCCACGTGATACTGATTTACCTACCAATCATATTGTACAGGCTGTGTGGTTCCACGTGGTCTGGTAATGCTCGCACTGCATCATGGTAAATTGCGAAGGCTTCGTCCAATCTGTCCATATCTGTGAGCATTCTTCCAAGATTGTACTTGATTTTATGAACTAGAACGACAAATATCGAAACAAGGCAGGAAGTAAATCGCAGTGCACTGATATAAACCACCATGGTGTTCCCTCCATACCGTCATACAGTTATATTCGTGATTTGAACCCACCAGCAGATGCGTGTCCTTTAGGGTCTTTTAATCCATGTCCACTGATTGTTGTAGCATTCTTCAAAACCTGTAAGCAAAACCAGACTGCATAGTAACACAGGAAACCCAAAGTCCCAAACACTTAACGCATATGAGAACGGATTTGAAGTTTGCAGTTCCTGTGATTCGTAGTAAATTTGCTTACAAAATAAGAACATTGCCCTGGATAATGATTGGTTGCTCTATTAATTGCTGCACGTGTACTTTTTACATTACTTACTCTAATGGCATCGTCTCGACGACCCAGCTGCTCCAAAGCGATTCCAAGATTAAGATGCGCGACTGAAGCGAAACAAATTAAAAATGAATTAAAAACAAAGATGTTCAGTTGATTTCGTTTGTTCTATCACCAAACATGGCTTTTTCATGACTACACTTTAACTTCCAACACGCGGTAGCCTTCACTCTATTCTTCTTGCCACACACCCACCACTATTTCATTTGAATACCGGAACATAAGCGATTCTTACGTGCTAGGGTTGGCCTGTAAGAAACAGCATATTCATAACAACGTATGGCATCTTCGTAACGTTTTTGATCAGCCAAAAGTACTCCTCTGCAAGTGATAGAAAACAAACAAATAGCCAAATTCCGATATGTTATCCCTTTGGAAATGCCCTTTGATAGAAACAAGTGTGGGTCACCATTTGTAGCGCGGGGAATATGAAACGGCCCTTCGTTTAGACAATAGTCGCACTACAATATTAACAAAAAGGTAAGGATTACGCAGGATGCTCTGGCCTAAGGCATCATGGCAGAGACTAGCCGTCCCGAGACCGCACAAACAGCTATTCCATTACATTATCTGCAAAGCACTTCGCTTTGAAATGGAAAACAATCCTATGTAATGTATTTGATGTGTCTTTCAAGGCTGTTGTTTTGCTAATTTAATTCTTGGAACCTTGGCCCAGTTGAATAAGCTTAGGCCATTCAAGATACTGAGTCAAACCAAGTTTAGTAACTATTGTAAATATCTGGATGGGTGACCTGGAACTCATACCAGGTGATATCGCCTCCACGCGCGCAAAGGATTATTTGTCAAATTGAGCGTTTCCTAATACCCAGCCTCCTATTCATCATAATATCTCACGGTAATGAAAATGGCGGCTGTTGACTAATTAAGACAACGACGATTTTGGTTACTTTTATGGCATTTATGATTTGTTTTTATTAATCTTAATTGCTGATAGGGCACGAGGAAGCTTTTCTGGTACAAGAAACATAGAATTTTTCAATGCAAAGTTATATTTTAGGACGTATTTTTAAAAGGTTAACTCGAAATACGACTCCATTTTGAAATTCATCATGAAACATTTGGCGATGCAAAAAATGCTTCTGATTGGTTAATAGTAACCACGAGTGCGTGCTCGAGATCACCTGGTATATACTCAAACATTTTTTGGATTAATTTTTTGTTTTTTGCTGATATTTGCTCGTTGTTCGACATAATGTGACCGTTTTTGCATGTCTGGGAGGCATATTAGCATTCGGTTTTTCAGTCGTTTCTATCAATATTCCACACATATGGATAAAAAACTCAATAAGACATTTGAATTTAATTGAGTTGAGTTTGTTTCACTACTTTAATGAATTCGCCATGTCATACAAATTTGCAATAGATAAATAATGATTAACAAGTGCGTTGAAGGGGGAAGGAACCGAACGTTCGTCCAATTGCAGTCTAGCTCCTAAGATTATTTAGGAGTAGGAAAAGTAAAATAGAAGTAGAAGACAGATCGGATGATAGGATTGAGTTCAGTAACTTACAGGTTATAGTGTGTGTCCGCCATGTTGGATCGATATGACAACGCTTTCCGATACGCATGCTCAGCTTCAGCTTTCTGACCACGACTACTCAGTATGGTTCCAAGGTTAGCCCAGGCTAGAAAGGAAAGATAGTTTATCAATATTATGCTCAGATATATCATCGTAGTTTTTACTGACATATTTTAAAATCTCCGGGGTAAATTAGTTCAGGACGTCACTCCTTGTTGCTGCTACTACTAATATAATAATATTAATAATAATGATAATAATAATAGTAATAATAATAATAATAGCAATGAAAATCATCATCTAATCATCGTTATTTAATAATAATTAAAATAAATATTAAAATATTAATTTACTGAGATGTGTGCACAAGAATGGATATTATCGAGGCTTTTCAGATAAAGAACGAAATAATTTTCAAGGAATTGACGCAGAAGATATGTTATAAGGGTGATTTTAAACGGATAAATCTCTAACCTTTTGCTGGATTGACGTCGATTCCCGACCTAAATAAAATAATCATTGATTAGCGGTCATCCAGCGTTCACCAATCTCGTTTCCTTAATCTGTTGTGCGGGAGGTCGTGGTTACACTGACTAAATAACACTAATCATTCTTCCTCGTGATTGTAAGCTGCGCATACGGTCGTAAGAAGGGTGGATAGCTAACCTACCCAGTGGATAAATTTATCGGATAACAGCATCGATTTACTCATTGGATAAAGATCTTAATAGACATATAGATTTAATATGTTTTCGAGTCGAGAAAAAATGTCCGCTCGTATTCCACCCCTAAACTGTCTAATAAGCTATTTATCATCCAAATGAGCTTACTTTTTCCCCAATAGAAGGCTTCAAAACGATTTTTAAAATGGTTTTTTTACTGTACGAAATAACTTAGAGTACCAATATCACTAAATATTTGTACTCGCTAAAGGCCCTTCACCTGCGTTAATCGTACTCCGATTTAAATAGTTGATAATAGAAGGATTTATCCGTCGGACAGCGCTATTCACCTTTCGTACAACCAGGCCCATTTGACAGTCGGTTATGCACTGTTAGTACTCACTCTTTCGATCCCACTAGAATTAACTACGGTAACTATAGTCCAGAACTGGATTAACTTTTATCTGCTCGCGCGCGGTAAAAATATGAGAAGATATYTTTTTTTAGAATCAGAAATCAGAGAATCATTGCGCGCGCAAAACAATAAACACAATTATGAAAAGTGGGTCCAGTTCTGGACTACGGTAACTACWGATATGAAGTCTTACCTGTAAAGTGTCTCGCCATCTTTCCAGTCTTGATTGCGATGAACAGTTTTAATAGAAAACAATAATAATACTATACAAAGAGAGCCTGTAATACAGTTTTTCTTACGACTATCACTGCAACATCTCCACAACAGATCCAAACCGACAGCCACCATAATACAATATCCCACACTAGGAATATAAAGAACTCTTTCTGCAACCACAAATCCAACGTAGAAAAATATGTTCGTAGCTGGAACGAACGGAAGTGCCAGAATTGCCATGGAAACGAGAAGTGATTGACAGTCATGAATTGTTGAGATGTATTCTTCTGGTGTATTTGTTTGAAATTTAGTATCTGGAGTTTTCCTGCGTTCTTTAGGACTTGATTTAGCATCCTGTTTAGGTCGAGGTACATTTCTCTTCCGGACTCCTTCGTTTCCATTTATTACGTCGTACACGCGGAAATACGCTGAATCCAGTCCCTTGTAGTTCGCATTCATTTCACTAAATAGGCAATCAAAATTCTCTAAACTCAAACGATTTAAATTTATAATACCTAGCATAGCAAAGCCATTGTAAAAGACTATAGAAACAATGTTCCTCCAATCAAAAATGCCCTGCACTAAAGGAACAGCATTCATCGACCAATCAAAGCTTAATGTTATTGGACAAAGTAGAAGCCAAAAGTTGAATGCAGGAAGATACAAAAAAGTAAACGTTCTGGTCAAAAAACTTTTAGAATTCGCTGCAGGGTTGTCTGAGTTGGAAAAGTCAGGTGGTTTGTTTCCCATTAAAACAAAGCGTAGTGAAAGAAGGGAAATTGCTGTGAAGATTAGAGACAGAATACGAGGTAAGAATCCAATAGAGATTGCCTGGAAGAGAAAAGAGAAATGAATGTTCAATTCCTTGAAACAGAAGTTATTGAGTATCGTTGGAGAGGGTGGGAAAAGACTTGCTGCGCTTACAAATTACATACTAATGCACGGGTTGGAAACCTAATCTTGGCACTGTGTTCTTGGGGTCAGTGGCGTAGCGAGAGCTCCAGAGTTGGAAGGGTGCATGAGCACACGCGTTTGGGCGCGAACATTCCTGCCAAATCCAAGAATTTCTCAAAAACAAGGTATCTTTATCTCAAAGAAAATTGAAAGAAACTTTCCTTTACTAACCTTTTTAAGAGAGATTTTGATTGCTCTAAAATTAATTCTGCTTACAACGATTGCCTCATAGACAGCACACACGCCAAGAACTGTAATGCCTTGCTCTTTGGTAAGCATACTAGCCGCTGATATGACAAGACTGACCAATAGCAAACCCCAATTTGTACGACAACATTTGGACATATTTTCATTTTCTGGTTTCCCTATGTTGTGGCTGGGACATGATTTGATGTAGGTGAGTAACGCAGCAAGAAAGAACATGCAAGCACCCACRTCTGCTCGTCCAACTACTCCAGCTACTGCTTCTGCAATGTCACATACAAGAGAAAATATTTTGCTTTATTTTTATGACAAAAAATTGAGAGAAAGATTCCATTGACCAGTAAAACAAGCTTAAGAATTCCTTGAGATGAGACTTAAAGCTAAGGTATAAATAATTTTCTTAGCAATTCTTGGGGTGCAACCGATAACAAAGCATTCCTCATTAGCTTTTCTTGTTACGTCAACCAACGTTAAGGGATTTTGAGTAATGTGTGATTGCACCCCAAGAATTTAGGTGCATTTTTGGTATATTTACATTTTGTAATTCAATGAGTAACTTTGTTTGCTCATTTAAGATGTCACCCACTTTGAATCGACTAATGGAGCCATTACATGTGCAGGTGAAATTATTTATTTTTAGTAGTGCACCTATTAATTCTAAGCCTTCGCCCAAGGGTGGGGAGATGGTAATATAAGGCAATATCCCCCAGAACAGCAAAACGAAATCCTTTGAAGGGAAATCTCTAAAAAGTATCAAGTTCTTGTTCTTGTGGCTGTGCCTCCATCCCCTCCCCCCCATCCCCCTTCTGGAGATTGACRATTTTCATTAGATAATTTCCTGTTTTTGAGGATGTAAAAATAAATTATTAAGTTTCAGCTTCCAAATTTTGTATTTAGATCTCATTAACCGTGCGGGAGGTCTGTACGGGATAATCTTGACCGAGGTCTGTACCCGACCGAGGTCAAGATTATCCTGTACAGACRGACCAAGCTCGGTTGATAAGAGTTTTATTATATGACCACTTTTCATTGAAAAGGACAAAATGTTTTCGCCGTAAGATTAATATGCGATCGTACCGGTTAATACCGGAGAATCTACGTGTAGACCAGTCCGCGATGCGATCTATCCAATCAGATTGCTCGAATTGCTAGTGTCCAGGCTCTAAGATTCACGGTCATATAATAATTACATCATACTGAATGAATTAAGCAACCTGCATATATTTTAATTATTTATAATTAATATACTTCAATAGCTAAGAAATATATAAATATATAAATGTAGCTTATTTACCTGTGTGAACTGGATGTGTTGCAAATAGTAACCCACCAATCATACTCGCACGATGGGACAACATCAAAACATCACACAACATGACCACCAATAAACAAACAACAGAATGTAGCATAGCATTGATGAGGTGATAGCCCATTGGGTTTAAACCATGGACGGCATAGTTGAGCCTGAATGATGCCACACATAAAGGACGATATGATTTGTGGCTACCGCTGTGTGTCAGTGGTGTACCCCAGAAATCATCATACAAAAGATTGACCCATGGGGTGGTAGAGAGGAGGTCAGAGTTATTTTGAATTGCTCGGCTGTAGAAAAAAAAGAAGACAAGGTAAAATGCATAAGATAAAATTTATTTATTTATTTATTTTACAAATTTGTATAATATATATATAGAATTCCAATGAGGGATTTTTTTTATGGGGAGAAGGCGGCAAAGGAATTTATTTTAAAAAGAAGGCAGAGGGGGCAGGGAAGGGGGAAGCAAGAAAATCATGACGGCAACTTTTTCATAGCATTTTCATAATAAACATAATAAGCCTTTTCATAGTTAAAGAATCGATTCCACTGCGCATGCGATTTTATCCCAAATTTCTCACCTTCTTTTGTTTAATTAAGAACAAAAGAAGGTGAGAAATTCGGGATAAAATTGCATGCGCAGTGGAGTCGATTCTTAAACTATGAAAAGGCTTATTGAAAACAAGGGAGGGGCTATTTTTTAATGCAATGGATACAAAAGGGGGGTCAGATAAATTCTTGATTTGAATTGAATTTCACCTTACCCAACCTTACCCAACCATTCCCAATAAATAGTGTATGGTTATCAAATTTGTTTGATACATTTGACATAAATAACTTTGCATATTTTTTGCATTTTAGGCAAGTGACAGCTCAAACAAAAATATAGGTACCATGAATATGCAAAGACTTAACTTTATGTCAGAAAAAAACTTTTCTTTATTTTAATATTTTCATTGTCAAACAGTAAAATATAAGATTACTCTTTCAAATGGAAAAGAAATTGAAAAAGCTTGAAAGATAAGTTGTTTTGAAAAGCCTAATAATCAATAATTGGTATTCAACATTTAAGGGTATAATATGCCAAGATGTAACTTTATGTCAGAAAAAAAACCTTTCTTCATTTTAATACTTTTATTGTCAAACAGTAAAATATAAAATACTGTTTCCAATGGAAAGGAAATTGAAAAAGCTTGAATTATAACTTGTTTTGAAAAGCCTTATAATCAATAATTGATATTTAACATTTAGGGTATAATATCACATTTGGACTCTGCAGGGTGTAATGTGAGGTGTTGATTAAATAAATGTTGTTATGGTTTTGGATGTGTGAGCTATAACTCAAATAAAATTGAATCTATTTTCAATAATTTGTTATTTTTTTGACAAACCTTTAAGATTGTAAATCATGATTAAAAAAAATAAATCTGAAAATTTTAGATTGAACTAGTTGATAAAATAAGATTTGGTTTAATAAGAATATTTTTTATACTTCAAATAATATTTGGTACATAAACAAAGGTTTTGCCAGCAATTTAAAATGCTCGAAAAATGTTAATGCTAGTGGCTATATCATAAGTTATTGCAAGAGTGTTTTCTATTACAAACTTTAATTGTGACTGATCATTATTTTTAACAGATAATGATATAAATGTACAAATATACTTTTAATAGGCAACTTTCTTAACTGAAATTCGTCTTATCTTTTTCCCCTTAGGATTTCATAAATGCTAAAAAAATTTGATAAAAAATAAAATAGAGGGGTTTATATAAAATAAAATAGAGGGGTTTATGACCTAAGAAAAAGCAAATTTCCTTTGTTTTGACTCGCTGCATTCAAAAGCACGCGATGAATTATTTCTCGTTTAGATCGAAATCCCAAGAGGTTGAATACAGATTTTATTTATTAAGCAAATAAAAAAGGAACTTCTATTCATGGATCCAAAAAATATTTCTCAAGACGATTTTTGTGAAACAGCTGATAGTGATAGTGCGAAATACAAAACGAAATATTATAAGAATATATTTATAAATATGCATATTTGTAAGCTCATAAAATATAGAATGATTTCTTTTCAAGTTATCAATATTGGCTTTATAAAAGAAGTTATAAGAACGATATTTAGTTAGATTTCCGCACAAAGTGCTCCAGGGCAAGTTTTGAATTCAATTACACTAGCCTAGTAGGGAAAAAACGTCTTTCTTCAATATTTAATGGCATTCGGTCTGAAAGAGCTAATAATTATCATACCTTGGTCTAAAGAATGGGCTCTTTGTTAGAGGAGAGACATAAATAAATCTCATATTTTAAGCTTGTTTACCCAGTAAGAAACCTTTCAAACCTTTGGAATTTTTAGCATATCCAAAAGATTTATAAACAAGGCGATAGCAGATTATTTAATATGGCAAAAAAATTGAATTTGTGGAAGATATTTATCAAAAGTTGTTGTTTGGATAGAAACAAGCTCAAAGACCACAACGTTCATTCACTCGAGATGTGGTTTGTCAAAACAATTTATCGTATGTCTTCCAGGACTTTGTTTGAGGAGATTACAACTTGATAAAGGTTATACAAGGTCAGGTTAGGGCTGAGGTAATCTATTTATTCCTAGAGTTTGAATTGTCAATCTTAGTATTTTTACCTGTCATCGTAAACGAAGTCTGCCTGTAGCGTATTCAAATAACAAACCAGTCCAACAGCTGAAGCAATCGCAGCAGTATAATAACGAGACCAAGTCTTCCTCTCCTCCATTTAAGATAAGAAACCTTTAAATACTATTATTCATAAGGTCTCTATCTTGTGAAATACTGAAAGTGTTGTTCAATATGACTCCTGGGTCCACCATTTTGTCCACTCCTTGTTGTTTATGTCCAATATGACTGCGGGCGCAGGATTATGGACTCATTAAAGTCAATTAGCCTAATAGGCGGTAAAAAATGACCAATAAAGATATTAAATAGTAGGCATTACAAAACTTAGCTATGCCCTATGAAAGCAGTGTGTCAATATTTCAAGTATTTGTTTGCCTTTAGGCCCATTTACACAATTCTGTTGCGGAAGGAGTCGGGAAAATGTAAGTCTTCAAATTTCCAAAAAAGATATCATGAAAAAAGATGAAAGGAAAAGAAAAWAGTGGGAAAAAGACAGAATTCATTCCAATCTATTTATTGTCAGTTTGATTATTTTGAAAGGCAGGTTTTTCCCACTTAAACCACCCCAAAGAAAATACTGTCAAAACTTGGAGTCATTCCACGCCGTCCGCTGCGAGGAAGAGAGAATGACTGTGGGAGGAGTTACAAGAAACGAAATGAAAGATAATATATATATCTAACCAAATATTGTAACCGAAATTCATTGTATTACTGCTTCTTTCAGACTGTTGTGTCGACTCTTTATAGTCGGTGTGATTTCCAATCATAATTCAATTTGGCAGYCGACAAGTAATTTTAAGCTAAAGTATATGGTACTTACCTAACCATTGACATTTTATGCAGCATTGGTCCAAGAATGGCTGTATGAGAAAATTAAAATTTTCGTGAAAGTAGTACGTACCCGATTGTCGGTTTTTTTCAATACATACTCAGTAATCTATAAACTGTAACTTCAAATCCTAAAGAGGTTGAGGTGGGAAAAAAATATGTTGAGATATTATTTGATAAACATAACTATATACCTGTAGTTATATTCTAGAAGAGTCTTCTAAAAACAGGTTTTGTGAAGTTTCCTACTGCGATCGCGAGAAAGAAAAACTAAGATTGTAATTTTCGCGGATGGATAATAAATCAGTCAAGTAATTATATAAATATAAAACTACATAGAATTCCGAGCATTCTGTCGCATTTTGTCGCAGAATTGTTTTTTTTTTTTCGAGTTTACCGTGAGTCAGGTACCACATTGTGTCCCGCCTGCAGGCTTCGACATTCATGGATGAGGTCGTGTCTGTAAATCAAGATATTAAACATAAAGAGCGCGCGCTGATTGGCTGGGTACGATGTTAAATCGTAACATTTCTTAAATGAAGCAAAATAAAATATGTAAACGTTAACAGTCTGAAAACTGTGGAGAAAGTGAATATCTAGTAACTAGTGTGATTCATTCCCCTCTACGCCTTATTCAGTTTTATCTTTAATTAACTTGCTTCTCTACTATCAAACCCTTGAAAGAAACACGAGGATGATCTAATTCATAGTCCAGCTAACTTATTTTAATTTTAATCTTAATTTTAATTTAGCAAGTGTATATTACAGAGCAGACACCCACGAAGAGCTTAAGCGTTCCGAGCTTTTGTAATCGTCCTGCTTGTCATGAGGAATTTAAATGCTGTTGGCTGAAAATAATGAATCCATAAATACTCCTTTGTTGAGAAGTGTTTGRAAACGATGCATGTATTAGACTGAAAGCGTGACAATAAGAGAGTTGTTGTGACACCTAATTAAAAAAAAAAAAAAATTCATAATATTTTTACTGCTATGCATGAGGAATGCCTTATTTCACGCAACTCAAGCCAATTGGAAATTGCAAAGCGCTGTATATATATATATATATA